TAGCACTTGCTCTCACTCTTGAGCTGCGCCTTGATGGCCTCTTTGAGTCGGGCCAGGTGGCCACGGGAGAAGAGGTGCCCACGGCAGGACACGTAGAAATCATACTTGACTTTGCAGTAGGGGCATTCTGACTGAGTGTGCGTGCTGGGAGGCCCTTCGTCGCCCCCGCTGGTACTGCCCGAGGCCGCCTTGGCCTTTTTCTCTTTGGCCCTGGCGTTCTGGAACCACACCTGAATCACTCGCTTGGGCAGCCCGATTTCTTCGCCTAACAGCTCGCACTCTTGCATGGTGGGTGTCCGGTAGGCCTCGTAGCAAGCCTTCATGATTTTAAGTTGAAGGCTGGACATCTGGGTGCGGTACCGGCGCTGACCCAGGGGGTCATGGATGCCTCCAGGACCACCCTCCATCGCTCGACTCCGTCGGCTGCCCGGGGAATCCAGGTCAGCCAGAGAAGAGGACGAGGATGACGAATCGCTCAGTTCCCCTCCTGACAAGCTTCTGTCTTCGTTCTCCTTGGGCACCTCTTCTTCGAATGCTTCGTCCTGTGTTTGTGAATCCACAGGAACTTCCAGCTTGCTTGGCGGTGGCGGCTGGGCAGGGACCGCAGGGAGGCTGGGAGCGAAGGCAGCTCCAAAAAGGATGGGCGGGTCTCGCGGTGGAGGGTTGAACTTTGGGAAGGCGGTAGGGAGTGCCGTTGAGGGCTTGGTGGTTGGAACGGCAGCACTGGTGTTGCAGCGGAACTGGCCCTTCCTCTCCCGGGCTCTCGTGTTCTGGAACCACACCTGGACGACCCTCTTTTTAAGCCCCACTTCTTCCGAGATGCAGTCGAGCATCTTCCGGGTCGGATTGGAGTCCTGCATGTACCAGCGATATAGAATCTCCAGCTGCTCGGGCAAGATGGTGGTGCGCAGGCGCTTGTCCCGCGGGGGCTCGCTGTCCCCTCCTGCCATGCTGGCGCATTCGCTGCCAGTGGGCGACAAGCTCCCGTCCTCGTGTTTCCGCTTCTGCGCACGGGAGGGATCGGGGTGAGGTGTGCGCTCGCCAAACAGCAAGGGGGGCAAGTCCAGGAGTTGTTGGGGGGGTCCGATGGTGGTGATGGTAGCTGATGAAGGACCGGCCGCCGGCATGTGACTAACATGGTGGGCATTGAGGAGGTCAGCACTAGAGAACTTGGCTGGGCACTGCTCGCAGGGGTGACTGGCTGAGCTTTCTGGCACGGCTTCTGGAGAGGGTAGCTCTTCCTCGGGGACTTTGTCTCCAGCTCCATCCGCCTTAGGGTCTCCATCAGTTGCCGAAGGCTCTTGCTGCTGCTGTTCCTCTTCTTCTTCCTCCTCCT